TGGTGGGTGTAACATCAATTCCCAACCAATATCGATCAATTTTTGCCGAGTAGACAAAGACGTGTGCGGCCCAGCATTGTCCTGCTGGAAAATGACACCTTTACGATTGACCAATTCTGGTCGCTTTTCCTTGACCGCTGCAATCAATTTGTCCACTTGCTAACATTCACGGATAATAAAAAATAACATAATAATAATAATAATAATTTTATAATATAACATTTACGGATATCATAAAAATGGGAGTAAGAGACATCTATAACTGAAATCGGCAATTACTTAGTTGCCAACCCAATATATCACCAGCTTCTGGGTATCTTAGCGATACACTAAAAGATCTTCCATATTTTCTGTTCGAGTTCAATATCTCTTGGCATCTTTGTAATAGTTTCTCAGAATCGAATCTCCATGTTTTTGTGTAATCGAATCTCCTCATTTCTTGTGTACAACAATTATACATTGCACAGTTCAGCGTTTGCGAGTCGCCTAAGTCGCTGGGCAAACCAGATCGTCGGTTTCTGAATGTTCTTGCGTCGAACGAGCGACTGACTAAAATTTCCATTGATCCTAAGGTATCGTTTCTTTGGACGAAGGCAGAAGGAGACGCTCGAGCCGAATGCAAATTTACAGAGAGAACCGCGCCTTCTACAAGCTCATAAATCTATCCGATTTCATGTCTAATAGCGTTCCGTCCTGAGCCATTTCAAATTTCTCCTAACGAGGTTCATTAATCGCACTTCCTCCGCAAACTCATCCGCTTTCGCGTGTGTTTTCTCGGAAACAGGCCTCTTCGCCATGGTTTACTTATCAATGAAATCTTATCTAAAGCGTCTCCACTTGAAAAGGTTATGTAAAGTATAGAGTGCCTTTTCGTTAGTTCAACGAGATGTGCGTTTCCTTTTTGCGAGCGTCAATTTCTTGCAGTTTTGACATGCTCGTGTTACCGGTAATTGCTGCTAATTTCTAGATACCACTCTTCCAGATAAACAGTCAGAGTTCGCTGAAATTTCTGCTTCTAATTGTTTGTGATGTTTAAGTTCTTCTTTCTAATTTTTACATCAATCATGACGTAATCGAGGAATACTATTGTTTGAGTGTGTATAATAGGATATTGTTTGCGTCTTTACGTCCCATGGTATTAGCTGCTTTATTAATAAATATCGAAGAAGTCGACGTCGAATCTTTTATAAATAATCCACGTGATCTCTCGGTGAATGTAAAAGTGGACATCGCACGGTTTATTGATCAATTAACGGGCACGTAAAGGTCGTGGACGCACGTGCCTAATTATGATTCAAAGATTATTTTTCGTAGTCGCATTTGCAGTCGCAGTTGTATCTTTGTTTTAAAACGATTTTTTATTCTCGATTGACCGTTTCTTTCAATAATTCTGATAATATTTCCTCGATCCTGTCCATAAGTTCATCTTTTCATTTTCCGTGGTGACAGATTTGCCAAATTCGGTTTGATGCATTCGGATTAGCAAAATTACTCGTCTGACGTATTTGCAGGACGAGATAGAATGGTTAGGATATTTCTCATATCCTGCATTTCAATAATGAACTACAGACTAAAACAGAATGATAATGCGAATCATTAATATCTAGTATTAACAGGGTTATCGTTAAATTTAAAATGAATGGTTTTTATGAAATTATGTATAATATGTTTTTCCATGATCATGAGAGCCTTTATTGCAATTGAAAAAGGTGGAATACTACAGGCGCGTGATTGCAACGGTTAAATTGGATGAAACTTTATGTACATACAGCTTAAAGTTTTACAAAAATCTTATCTTGAATTCACTTGAATCATCGATAATGATAAGAAAACTTTTGATTAATTTTCTATCGAACATTTTATATCATGCTATGCACTATTTCTTGAATAAATGCATTGTTATATTTGAATTCATCACGTTCTATAGTTGATATAATATTTTTTGGTTTCGAAAACTTATTAAAAACAAACTCTTTTTTTTAATTCCATATAAGCAACTTAACTTTTATTAAAAATATAAATGTATGTATAACACAAAACGAAAAACAAAAAAAGATTATTTTCATTCAGTGTAACCTTAATTTAATAAATTTCTTTTTCGTCACTACAATGAAACGAGACAATCAAACGAGAAAGGTGAAAAATCATTCAGATTTTTTGCACCTTTTATCCTCTTTAAGAATCTGTAATTTTTGTTTGTTTGTTGGTTCGTACAGGATCATTATAAATTTCAAGGTATGAAAATTGACAATTTTGCAGCTCCTTTTTGAATTTTCGGCTTCTTTCAGTGGAAGGGTAATATATTTATATACCCTTAATTATAATAATTATATTTCCATGTAAAGGTACTATAGTTCATTATTTCTTCCCGTCATTATTTGAAGGTAACATAGTTTTTAAATATGTTAAACAAAAATCATACTATCCAGTGCTGTAGAAGTGCAGTGTTAGCGAAACAATGTCATAGGTTACAGTGCTATACATGGGTCTCCGCAATTTATGCTGTCGTGTTAAAGCGAAACCGTGATATAGGATGCCGTATTGTAGGAAGGCTACTTGTACTTCTTTTTATGTACAACATAAACGTCAACTTTTAGTGAGAAAATGTGAAATTTTCATGTTTCATAGCTTCGTTTTAGTTTCCTATCACTTAAAGCGAACGACTTCCAATATCTCGTTAGATGCACGTTTCGCTTTATTCGTTGTTTTTATAACTTTTCTATCACACACTGGATAAATATTTTTTTTTATCATTCCATGGGATCTACAGAACGATACCTTATTAATGCCTTTGCCTTATAAATTGCTCTTTGAAAGTGCGTGCAATGATTTGTGAATATTTCATTCACTACAGTTTTTTTCAAGCAAATTTAAATTCTCTTTATTGCGTTCCGGTCTTTGAAATTTATTATTAACTTCTAACTTTCAACAAAATTTCAGTTTTCTTTAATTCTGCTTTATCTAGAAATATTTCTACAACAGACCTTATACTAATGCTTACATGTGAAAAATTGCTTAGTATCTTTTCAATGGTTGCTAAACTTATACATATTCTGTAATGCTTGTTAGAATAATTCCAAACAGAAAAGAGTTCTCTAACAATCATCCGTCTAATAAAATATTTTTCACTAGATTATAATTTTCAACATCTGACCGAGAGAAAAGAATAAAAAATGTATTTCTCCTTTGAATAATTTTAACGAATTCGAAATATTGTAACAATATTGTTAAATTATCCGAGAAGTGAAAAAAAAAATTTTAATGAACTGAAATTAATACAACGCATTTGAATTGTTTGAATACTTTTATTGTTTTTCAGTTAACCTACTCATTTTTATCACAAACGCTTAAAATCCTCAGCCTAATGATAAATAGTACATTTATTTGAAGAAAGTTCCTCAAAGAATGCAGAAAGCTTCAACATCATCTACAATTACTAACAAAATTTCCTCCATTATATCAAAATAAATCACAATAAAACACTGTAGCAAATTCAAAACAATTCCGAAACACAGATGATTCCACCCGTCTCGCAATCCATACTTAACAGTTCGGTTCCCGGCGTAAATTAATCAAGTGGCACGTGCACCTACAAAATTCAAATGCTGGAAGTTAGATACAATCTCAGCCCACAGATCTGGACCCAGATCTCCGAAAATTTCTGCTAGGTGCCCGCAAACGTCCAGAAAGACGCGCGTGCCGGTCCCCACCAAACGCAATCCGATCTCAGAATGGTCATATCGGTCCTCTCGATTTGCAGCCACCTACAAAAAAACAACAGTATGTTGCAATCATCACAGGTCGCTAAAGGAATCTGACGTCAATGCTTGGTTTTCGTCTCCCACCGGTTGGAAGCCGGCTTCATGGTTGGATGCCCTCGGCGCAGATGCAACCTCAGAAAAGGGACGTCTCCGTAACGTTCGACCAGGGTGACGACGAACCCACGAACTCGCCGATCCGTCAGTTCGTGATATGTCGTCGCCAGGAACGGACAGGCTCCTGAATTTCGTGTGCTTCCATTTCGTGCGCGTGTGCGGGTGGGATTTATCGAGCATGTTGCTCTGAAACACACCGTTACAAAGGCGTGTGTATGTGTGTGTGACATTAGCACCAGCCGGCCAATCCTCATCGCGTGTGACCATCGATTTGATCAGCTTCGATAGCTTAAAGAGTCCCATCGAGACGATAAGGTCGAAGATAACCGAGCATCGACTGGCGCACTGCGATCTTGGGAAATCAGGTCTGGACAGCGATTTTTGGAATAGCATTACCAGCGACGTGACAAAACTGAGAATCTCACATCTCGAGTCGAAAGTATCGAAAGTAGGTTTTGTTCGATGGTTTACGTGTGGTGGTTTTTTCTGGATGCAAAGATGATCGTCGGAGCTTTGAAGATACACTGTCAAGGTTCACTGTCCATGTGTCTTGATAGGAGCTTAACACGTTGACAGCTGCGTAACGACCCCAAAAAGTCCAAAACATCAAAGCAACTTAACCTTTAAAAAACCTGCATGACCTTTTAAAAAGACCCTAATAAAAAGTGCAAACGAATGTGCATAATTCTAGATAAACGCTGCATCGATGTCTTATTCTTAGCTAGTGTATAAAATAGGAAAATCAAGGAAAATTAAGCTTTTGTTACAAAATGAAAAATAGAAATACAATCAGTATACCAGTTAAAAAAATGACGCTTTGAATCATGCAGTTTTAAAACCGCTGGGGGTAAAATTTGATTCCACATGGTTCGCGATAGGTTTGGGGAAACTGAGATTGGAAAATTGAAGTTAATTGAAACGAATGTTTTTCAATGTTTCTGCATGCTACAAACTAGCATTTGATTCAAAAGATCAAAGACGAGTGTACACATATGTGACCGACACGGCAGTGAATGTGTTAACAATGGTCGATATGTCTCATACAGACGGATGAGTTAGAGAGGATTTTTGTTGTTCCAGGATGTATTAATATTTGAGAAAATTTTAAGGGGTTTATTATAATTTCTGATTTAATGTGCAACGGGTGCTTTAGTCAAATGGTGAAAAAATATAAAAAATATGAAAGCTTGATAGGAAGTTAGAAGTGGAGGTTTACAAATATATAAAACTTGGTGACCCTTTATGATGATGAAGGGTTGACGCATTCAGCGAAGAGGGAGATCCTTTCGTCTTAGATGCATTCAATCCTCTTGTATTACTGTAGTCTGATAGCATACTGCAGAGAGTATGACAGTCTTCTAAAAATCTTGGGATGCTCTACAATTTTTTCTTTTTCTCTGATTCTGTACGTTGTACGGTAGAATCTCGGTTATTGTCACTATCATGATAAGTGTTCGGATAATTGAACAGTTATTTAGATGTTTACTGACTTCTACAATAGATTTTGCTGTATATAGATTAACGTAATCGATTTAAAATAGGGAAAACTGTTGATTGGAAAATTATGAACGAAACACAATTTGTTGGAGGAAATTTCAGAATTTTTTACGTAGCTATATTTAGGGGGCGAGTGAGGGTTAATAAACTTCGAGAATTGTGATATAGAATGTTTTCATTACACATTGTTTTTCTTTGCACGTTACACGTTTCGTAAAAGTTCTATCTGTACACTCCAAAAAGTATTGGAACACTAAATTTTTCATTTTTAAAGAATTGTCTCTATCTAAACTACAATTAAAACGACATTAAAAACATTAGAAACATTTTTTCGCGAATAAATCTACTATAGATTTGAGGATTGAAGCTTTGCTTTTACAATAAGTCCCCAAAAGTTGATGAACAACTTTTTCAGGTGATTTTATTGAGCTTTTAATGAAATAAGAACTTCGCAATAAGAATTTCATACGATCAACTTCCGTAAAAAATTTAAATAATTTTTATTTTGTTCAACTACTGTTCAATTTGTTCTACGTTCGGGAAAAATCGTATCTTCAGTTTTTCATGGGGAGACTGTTTCAGTCGTTATTATAATCATGCACATATTATAATCATGCAATAGTGGAGCCGGTTACTATGGGGTGATCAATTTCTGTGTCTTTGGTTCGTTTGAATAATTAACTTTAAAAATAAACGAAATAAAAGAATTGAAAAATGTAACGCGTCTTATTCGATAAATCCAAGGTTAATTATGTTTAAAAGTAAATAAGAGACAGAGTAAAACTAATTCCACTACTGTCACCATCACCGTATGCAATCCTTCATGGACAGTGAATCTTGGATATACTGGCGATTCATCGATACTTATTTCCATTGCCCCGATCGTTGCCAGCTGGCACTGCGGACTCATCCGCCACGTGACTCTCTAATAACTAAAACAACTCTCGATGTTTGTCAAGCGCCTGCAGTATATCCTCTCGTCGCCGTATTCTTCCGATTTCCGGGTACATCGAATCGTATTTCCCGGCGCCGATTCTCCAGCAACGGACGGATGTCCTGCGATCGTTATCCGTCCGCTATCGAGCGTCCGAGGAGGAGCCCTCCGCGCGCGCAACGTTTCTGAAAAACGCAGCCGCGTCGGTGTTCTTCGGCTTTGGACGCGATCACACGTCGACGGATCCTCACGTTGCAGGTGCTCAGTTCGTTGGTGAACCGCGGCCTTGGTGCACCGGACATGAGCCGAGTGAATCCTCCTGCATGTCGGCAGGTCGTGCACCGGTGGGCTGTCAAGAATCTGTCATGCTAGTCGAGCAGCGCAGCGCTTCATCGGCGAGAACCCAGCCAGAAAACACCACCAGTACCGACCGCGAATCAATAAAGTGGAGCGCGGCTTCCCGGTGGCGAAATACCAAAGCCTGACCGACAAGCTGCTGCCTGATCCCAAGGGTTGAAAGGGGATAAGAATAGCCCTGCAACCATGGTCACTTGTTGGGTGCTGACCGGCGTCTTCGCGGCCATCGTGATGATCTACGGCCTAATCGAGATACACTACTTCTTGAGGATGTTCTTCACCGTGTTCTTCGCCAGGTTCTGCAAAAAAAGGGTGCACATACTCGACGAGACCACTATTTATGGTATGTTCATGCTCGACACACGGTACTGTATTCGATGTTGATGGCGCGGTTCGTTCCAGCTGGTCTTGTCTCTCAGTGTTGATGATTTCGACAGAGCACTTCGTAGCATTGTGACTAGACTGCGGATCCTTATGCAGTATAAAAACGTACTGCATCGTACTGCAGGAAACGAAAGTGTAAATAGATGTTTGTCTTTTCGTTTGATCATTTTAAGATTCTGAAGATACTGTAACATTTTATTTCAACTGGTTTTGTTTCAAAGAGTGTCGATGATTCTAACGAAGAATATCTTTTTCCGTGTGTGTTTTTGACGTTTTCTATGCACACATTACATTCACATGTTAATTAGAGTATCCTGGTGCATTAGACTAACCAACGCAAGTTGGACGTTTGTCTTGAAAATTCTTGTGTCAATATTTGCCTCGCTTTACGTATAACTGTGTGCTACGAGTGACTGTAATGTGCACTTGTGAAAATGTTATACTAAATAGTATTTTCCAATCTACTCTATTGCCTACTATTACTTGTCAATCAAGTTCTCTCTATATACTATCATCTGGTTAACTTCAATATCAATTAATTGCTATTCGGTGGCATCGAGGTAAATCTTAAATTATTCAAACACAGTGAAACTGTGAGATTGCGCGAAACGGGTGAAACAAAACTGGTCTGGCTGGAATGAAACGGCAGAAGTAATCTAAAGGGTGAAGGAGAAGACCCGAAGGTGCTTCGTTCGAGGATGTTTGAAAGATGAATAAGCGCGCTGACAGTTTCGCCTCGTCAGAGCGGTGCGCGTCAACGCAGAATTAACGGAACTGCGTAATGGAATCCGCAACGCGTAAGAACGCGAAGATTCCGTGAAAATGTATCTCATCTCATGTATCTCTCTTTCAATTAAGATTTCATGGAAAATTCTACCAAGTTGCACGTCTCAATTTTGTACGAAGAACTGCGGATCTCGATTGCAGGGAACACAAATTAAATACAAGTTTATCTCTCCGTTTAATTATTTTAGTACGTTGGAGACACTGTAACTGTATTTTAACAATTCCCTGAATGCGCCACGCGTATTTTACATTCGAATTATTCGTTTCGATTATAAGTGCATAAAATCTGCAGTTTAATTATAACTACATTCAATTTATTCAGTTTCGTTTTTTTGTGTCACCGTGCACGTTTTGCAATGTAACAGGTGTCAAATTAAGATGAACTGTATCCGCTTTAGTGTACAGCGGTCCCGAAGTCGTCTCAGAAACATTTCACATGAACATTGGTGCTTAACACGCAAGGTCAGCATCAGTTAAATAATTGTGAAAGTGTTAGGTGAAAAAGAAGACATGTGTTTTGTATGCAAAGCATGTACGAGAGAACTTGCAGCACCGAAAGTGTTCCAAACAATATCACTCGATTACAAATCGCAGCTTATAAACTACAACAACCATACATATTTCTTCACGTTACATTATCATATTAATTGTTACGCGACTTCAGTGCATTCTATACAAGTTTTTCCTCTTTGAATCCAAGAAACGATCATCGTAACTAATAGCTATTAATAACTACTTGCCAATCATATTTTCTCAATAATACTATCATCTGGTTAACTTCAATATCAACTAATTCCTATTCGGTGGCATTGAGGTAAATCCTAAATTGTTCAAACACAGTGAAACTGTGAAACTATGACATTGTGCGAGAAGAATGAGATCAAACTGGACTGGCTGGAACGAAACAGCAGAAGTAATCTAAAGGGTGAAGGAGGAGACCCGAAGGGTGAAATATTGAGCTTGTTTCGAGGATGTTTGAAAGATGAACAAGCGCTGACAGTTTCTCCTCGTTAGAGCTGTGCGCGTCAACGCAGAATTAACGGAGCTACGTAATCAAATCCGCAGCGTGTAAGAACGCGAAGATTCCGTGAAAATGTATCTCATTCTCAAATTGGCTGCCACGTAAGCCCGGAAACCTTACAATTCGTCGACTTACCGCGGTCCCGTTCCCGTGGAACCTTGACCTAGCACGCGCGAATCAGTTGACCGGCCGGCTGCTCGTGTCGCAAATCCGACCAAGTATTGATTGGGGAACGAACGCCGCGAATTTGTGCGAAACTGGACCAGCCGGGGAACGTAAACATGAATCTTATGCTGCTAGGTCTTCTGGGCGTTGTCTTGCTTCGGCGATGATCCATTTGGACAGTCTAAAAAACGTAGAAACTCGTCCTGGAAGTCGCTGGCCAGTCCCTGAGAGACAATGAAGGACTTTCGAACTTTGTTCGCCAGAAATAAGTTAAAGAGCGGAGAGAAAATATGAATTGTTGTTACTTGGGGATTTTAACCTTTTGGCAGTAGAGAGAGGAAGTTTACGCTGAATTGAGTGGAGTTTTTGGATTGTTGACTGCGGATTTTATGCATTTATGGTAAAAATAAGTAGATGAATATAAACCAGTAAGCACTTGAACAGGTCTTAAGAATATCGTCATAATGACATTATTAAATAGTGTAATACATTTTTATTTAACTATTGTTTCCTTAATAAATTAGTTAATATAGAAACATTTTATTTTGCATACATATCCGCAGTCTAGTCATGGCTGTCTATGGGGAAATCTTGAATTTTACTTGTAGTAAGTTAGTCTTTCAACACATGTTTTGTTCATTGGAAATGGTAACTTGATAGAATCTGAGGAGTTTCATCCTTTGATAGTGAAGTGAAGATGTTGAGTTACACTACTATAAGTGTATCTGGCTTGTTAAGAGAATGATTTGCCAGTTATTAACAGCTTACAGTATACCTGACATTCTAGTTGGAAATATTGATCAGTTGGAACTTACTCAGAGGTGGCAAATTGATATAATGTGATGCTTCAATATTAAACTATACAATATTTCATATACACTTTTCCTGGAGTATTTAGTGTTTGGTCAATCACAATCATTTAAGCTTTCTGAAAACACTTCACAAACGCTATCTACATTATGGTTCAGTTTGCTATACAATTTTTTACAGAGATAATAAGAGCGATAGAGATGTGTCGAGTTAACTTAACCTGGCGAGTTAACTCGTACCCGGTAAACCACCCGACAAATTAAAAAGAACAATCAAAATTTGATTTCTTTCTTCTCTTCTTCTTTCTTATCTTAATGTCAGTAAATTTTTAAATCAGCCAAAAATGCATTCCAATTGCACAAATTTCTTCAGGTGCATTCCCTCCAATGTATATTTATTTAAACATATGGCGTAAAAGTTAAAGTTATACTAGTGTTCGAATACTCTGGTGTGACTTTTCGTCGCGAAATACATCGGAGTTCAGTCATTAATATTCACAGAAATATATGAAAAAAGACAGAACATTGGAGTATTAAAAAAGTTCAAATATTATTTACACGAAGCGGGCGCTCCTTCTTGGCCTGCTCGAAATGTAAATCGGTCCGTCACTTCTATCTGGCCGTTTCTTCTTTAGAAATGTCTTCAGAATCCGGTCCTGGGTAGAATTCTCGTGCCACACAAAGAATTTTCGTCAAAATACAAAAATATTGCGGAGAAACTACGCACGTCGGCACTTCTTTAAACTTTGACTAGCTTATAGCTAGTTAGGACCAAAAACAATTAATAAATTGTGTGCCACTATATTCGGAAAACTCTCCTCTATCTTTTAAGATCGATTAAAAATTTCTAACGTTTTACTTTTCATGCAATACCTCATCTTTGTTGAAAATTCTGGGCTTTTACAGAAGCTTATTTTTTTCGAAAATTGAGGGTGATGAAGCAATTCGGTTTACGGATTCTTGTTCGGGAAGTGAAGCTCTACAAGAATTTNGGGGGCGGCATGTTTAGAATTCTAAGGCGATAGGAATTATGATGCGGTAGCTATTTCTTGAGCTAAAAATTAATTTAAAAAATGTTAAACTTCTTGAAACATATTGTTAAACAATAGAGGTATGATACTAGTAACAAAATATTCAAATATTATCTACACAAAGTGGATGCTCCACTGGATCCCTCCATCGATGTTGATTACGCATAGCAGCGGAGCACATGGCGACAAAACGTCCTCCGCGCGTTGCCGACGAATATTTTCTCGGCCTGCTCGAAATATAAATCGTTCCGACACTTCTATCGGACCGTTTTTTCTTCAGAAATGTCTACAGGACCGATCCTGAGAGTTTTCCTGCTGGGCAAAGAACTTTTTGTAGAACTACAAAATTATTGCGAAGAAACTACGCACGTCGCTTCTTCTTTAAACTTTGACATTAACTTATAGCTATTTATAATTAATAAATTGTATGCCATTTTCTAACAATTTTACTTTTCATACAATACCTCACTTTTTTCGAAAATTCTGGATTTTTACAAAAGCTCGTTTTTTTGTAAACTGAGTGTGATGGAACAATTCGGTTTTCGGGTTCTTGTTCGGGAAGTGAAGCTCTACAAGAATTTCATAGTGGCTATAGGAGATCCGAACAAAAATTTGATTTCGTCGAACAGTGTTATCAAAAAGAAGAAAAAAATCGTTGAATAACGATAAACATATATTCAAATTTTTTGTCAATGAATACGATTAATATCCCGTTTTATGCATCGTCTTTGTCATGCCACGCGAATACTACGACGAATGATAAATTCTTGAATCGTTTAGTATGCCGGAATATTCTGACGGATGCTGATCTTTTATTTATTAGTCCTTGCGACGAATGAGGAAGCCGATCGGGACGCGTCGCCGCTTCCCGTGGTCTGTTCTTCGATTTCGCGATGCTGTATCGTTTAGCCTCCGGTTTGACCATGTTTGTAATCGATCTAGCAAAGTTCCGCGAGTGTTCCATCATCGTTGGTTTTGTTCGCGCCTCCTTAATTTCCTTAAGTTTTACCGGTAACGATTCTAAACTTTCTTTTGGACGTTTTCGTGCCGAGAAAATAATTGCTCTAATTCGTCTCAGCTTTATGTAGTGAAAACATATCAAATATTTGTTTCAACTCTTCTCGGTTATGGAGAAATTCTAATTTGTGAATCTGAAACTTCAAAGTCGAAAGTCGCTAGACTTTTTGAAAGCCTTCCTGGTCTTCGAGAGCTCTGCAGTAGAAGTATCATGATCTTGAGATAAAAGTATGACAAAGAATTTCTTCCGATTTCCACTGATCTTTGAGAATCTTCAATTTGTAGTTTCTAGATCTTAAAATAAGAAGATCGTGATAGTTTATTCTAAAATCTAATTCAGAGCTTCAGTGCCTGTATTAAAAATATGAGAATTTTCTTAATTCACCTTGATTTTCGAGAGCCCCGAATTCATAGCTTCGAAATCTTAAAAATGTTTTAAAATATGATAAGAGCTTTTTTAACTTTGCTTGGTTTTCAAGAGCTCCGAATTGGTGGTTTCAAATCCACGGAATGAAAATACAATACAATTATTTGTCTAGTCTTCTTTAGGCACCAAATTTCGCGACAAAGATACGATAAGGATGTACTCTGATTCGCGGGTGCAGGACCGTGGAATGAAAGTATAATGATGATTGTTATTGCTGAATGCTGATCGGTATACTAATGTTTGATTTCAATAGGTATTTGCGCCACCACCGACGTGGACACGCTCCTCTATCACATGAACAACGCGAGATACCTTCGCGAGCTGGACTTCGCAAGAGCGGACTTCTATGAAAGGACGAGTCTGTATCGCGAGATCTGCTCGCAAGGGTCGGGAGTTGTACAGGGAGCTGCGACAATACGGTATCGTCGATTCGTGAAGCCGCTCTCCGTCTTTAAAATAACGACCAAGGTATGCGGAAGGCTATTAAATCCTATAGCTATTGCTTTTGATGAGACTTTGGTCTGCGTGTGCTTGTAATATTAATCAAGCGTAATTCTAATCACTGGATGTTCAAGTAAATCAACAACCTATAGACAAACTTCAAAGTGATCAGCCTAACCCTTATCGGTAGACTATGGATTTTTATGCATTTATGGCATTTGTAAGTTTAAAAAATACGGAGAAAATGCGTTAACATTAAACCTACAACGACCAACTGACCGGTTTCTCGTTTTATAAATTATTTTATTGCATTATCAAAAAATTATATTATTGGAGCATGTACTATAATAAAAACTGTATAAAATAATACTGCTAATAATTGAATCAAATGAATGCTAATCGGTAGGTTTAGGATTAGTAAAAATTAATTTTATTACTACTTTATATTTGCGACAAGAAATCTTTTAAATGACGCAAGATATTCTACCCTTCTTCTATTATCTATAAAATACATAAACAAAATAAGAAATTGCAGAAAAATCCACAGTTCACTAATCAGTAATTAATCCTTTAAATTCTGTTTTTGAAAAAGGAAACCTATTCGAATAAATTCTTTGAAAAAAATGAGATAAGTGTAAAGTCAAATTATCCTCATCATTAAACAGTTAATGAAATGAAGTATAAAACACGATTTACGCAGAATCGGTGGAGGACGAGCCAAAATGACACTTGGAATAGCTGACAATTAAAATGCCAGCAGCAATTCGTTGATTTTTGTATTAAAAAAAAAAAAGAAATGACAATTGTACAGTATAATACATACTAGATACCTTCTACATGTCCTTGAATTCGATGAAAACATTTTCTTATTCCATCTGTATGAATCGTAAAAACAAAATGAATTGAAAAAATAAGGAAATGAAACACGCTGTGTCTTAGTGTTCAATAATGCTCGCGGGCATAAGTTTGCTTTACCAAAGTGTTTACGATGCGTTCCTGCAAAGACAAGTTGCAATATTGGTTAAATTGTGTAATTGTTATTACTGTTTCAATATTCTGCGTCACGCGTGGTTGGACTCTGACCGATTGTCTCAAGAATTCTTCGGGCATTTTCGCGAGAACTATTAACATTTGTTTTTGATATCTTCTCGGAATGTACGCGTAAACTGTAAACGCTTCTCCTATTCCTATTCTGCACAGGTAGTTTCAGCAGTGACTCCCATTGACATCCTGACACTCTTCAAAACAGACTAACATGCTTGTAATTGCGTTAAACGCACCGTGTCCTTTTAAAGAAGTTAGTGCAACGTACAAATTCTAATTGTATGTAAAAGAAATTTGAAAAGGTTGCCTCTACAACTTTTTATCTATCCCTGTACAACAAATTTTCAAAATGAAATTGTATCTTTCACGATATGATGTTAAACGAAGCCTCCTTATAATGTTGTCAAAAGCAACCTTTAATATTTTCTTCGCAATTCTCATTAATTGCACTTTTTCAAGATGTCTTTTATTTGTCTTTTATTTTTTAAATGTTTTTCTGGTAAACTAGTCTTTCCGACTCGTCAAAAAAATTCAAGATTTTTAGTCGAATTCTAGAAAGTAGAAGAAAAAAAATCTGTAGAGAGTGTCTGTATCTTATTGGCAGTCGTTGCAGACGAATGAACAAAGGAAAGCGTCGTTTTCGGCTATGCAAACTGGAAGAGTAAATCGTCGTCTTTCCTGTCTGGTCGAGCATTGCCGAAGTCGATCCTCGATCAGTCATTATGGTTTCGTATGCATTCGACGACCGCATGACGCACCACGGTGGAGGATATACATATCCTATCCTCCTTGCGATCAATTTCATAGCTGTGTACGCGGAATATAGAATCGAAGCCAATTAAACAGATTGTCATAAAACGAAGAGTCAATTATCCCATTGTTCATGGTCTCGGTCGTCGCGCCTGTCTTTACAGAACGAATCATCCGACAACACCTGCTTGAACAGTTATCAGATACGCCATGTGTAGAATGAGTATTTGCAAATCAGCGTTCCAGGAAGTATTTCTCAAGCTATACAGAATTTATGTGTACAGTGACTTCTAAAAGTATCGAATACTATATTCTCGATTTTTGACAAATTTTTGCCACTCAATCTGTTATAATTTCGTAAAATAATGGTACAGTAATAAATCTGAACTTATCTTTAAAGCTTCTCTTCTATTTTGGTCGATATTGTGGGTGGAAAACTGTAATCACAATTTTCTTCGAAAATGTTGTAAATTAAATCGTCCCTGAAACCGTCAGAAAATTTTTTTCGTGATTGAATCGAATATGGATTTGTAGAACAAAGCTTCATCTTTAAAATTACATCAAAAAATGTGATGTAAGATTTTTCTTAATGATCTGATTGAACTCTGAACGTAAAGTGTACTGCAGACTCAATATTGTTGACTGAATCGATGTACATACTTTAATTACGTCATATTAAAAATCTTTTTATTAACGATTCTCACGAATTATTTTTATAGATCATATATTGGGACGAGAGATCGGTGTTCATGGAACACCGGTTCATCACTCCAAACGATGGGTTCGTGCGCGCTATTGCAATTTGCAGGCAAAGACTGTTGGACTGTAGCGCAGAGGCTGTGATCGGATCCCTGATGGAACGAGGAGTAAAACAGACTGCAGATGTCGAGGCAGGTGTCACTCAGGTAAAATTACGTACTTTGATCATTTTCAGACTACAAACTATTATTTTTTGCAAGCTCGTCGAATCAGGTCCTGTACTATTAATTCTTATCCAATCAAGATTCGATAATACTTGCTAACAAATTCTTTTAGTTCAATTTGACTTTAGGCACGTAAGTGAACATTGTTTAAACATGTTTAAATGTTGATAATATTGTACAAGAATATGCCGTTGTATTTCGGAGAGTCTGCATCCATTCCTGTAGCTATTAAGGTTGATTGATGAAAAATTGTTAAAGTTGAAAATTTGACTTCCAAATCAAACTTCTCGAAAAGTCAGGGTAATGGAGAAAAGCTTTCAAGGAACTGTATAAATGTGTATTCATAAAACATTCATTCAATCTTAAACATTACGCAACATAACTTCTGGTTCAAAGTGATACAAATAAGTTTTCACACGTGTTGCAGGTAGCACATAAAAATCTTTTCTATTATGACAAGTACACTCAACTCATTATATCAATACAAATTTTCCTAAAATACTTTCCTGAAATATTTTCCTGAAATTTTCCTAAATACGATATAGCTTGGAACAATCTTAGATGAACTTGTTGGAAGAACCCGTATCCAGTGTGTCCTTGACAAAATAACTCTTAAAAATCGTTGCATACAGCTAGTTTAAGAATGCCGAAGATAAATCAGATCACGTGTTGCGGATAGCACATGACAATCTTTTTCAGATTCAAGAACACTCGTCTTTCTACTTAAATACAAATTTTCCTGGAGCATATTCCTAAATGATAGACAGCTTTTGCCGATCTGAGAAAAACTTGCTGAAAGAACCTGCACCCAGAGTATTCCTAACAGACTAGCTCCTAAAAATCGTTGGATACTACTAGGATTTTAAGAATAACGTAAACGCGGTCTTGCAGATGCCACATGTGAGACCGGAAATGCCGCCGGAAGTCGCCAAGTGGCTGGAAAGTAACGAGATCTCCTCGGCGCTGCTCCGCCAAGCAGCGGCTGTGACCACCAATTGCTGACAAAAGGAGGATGCGCCTTCCAGCACGAATGGCGTCGTTCCCGCTTCCGTCTACGCAACCACGACAGTATAAAAATCGTCGAAACGTGTTCCAAGGATTCTTTCGGGGCGTCGGTCCTTCGAACCATTCCTCGCTAGACAGTTCCGAACGATCGTGTCCCGATTGGCGACAGGACACGAGCGATCGTTACGCTTCTCAAGCTTTCGCGGATCGTGATCTTTCTCGTCCGCTTCGGTATCGTTTATCCGTGTCGCTGGAACATGTGACGCGACACGCGTGTATACAAGGTGTGTCAGAAAGTACCTTCCAATCCATGGGAAACAAAAATGCGTAGATACGTTCTTACGAGGTGCGACACTCGACTGAGAAACATTAATATGTGTTCTTTAGGATTGTGTTTCAGAGACTCGTTGCGATTCTATTATTATTTTTAGACGCGCGTGTATAAGCAGTTTTTTTAGAGTCAGAGTTCATTTGCGCAAATCATCGTATAATTTCTCTGTTCAAATGGAAATGTATACTTTGATGCATTAATTGATAGAGAGCAGTATTTCCTGGGTAAAATAATGTAACTGTTTCTGGCAATGGCATAACTTTAAACGTATCTGTATTTAAGCTGACAAGTTCTTAACGATGCAACTACTTGAATATTAAATAATCTTTTGCGCTACTAGTTTTTCAGTTTCAAGTGGTGACCGCTGTTTTAATATCAGTAGTGGTATCGTGACGTCATATTAACTCTGTATCAATAATGGTGACTTAACTTAAAATAAACTTCTTATCAACAATGATGACTTGATGTCAAACTGTCTCCATATCAACAGTGGAACCACTAGCGATACGGAGTCAATTTGATATCAAGACACCGTTAATTGATACGAAGTCAATTTAGCTGCAAGTCATCACTATCGTCACGGACTCAATTCGCCGTCAAGTCACCGCTATTACTACGGAGTCAATTCGACGTATATCACCACTACTGTCATGAGTCAACACTCAAAGATCAGTGGAAACCTCTGTTTTGTATACAAATTGCATTAATTATTACGTTTGAAACCGTACTATCTCGTTATTGGAGTTGCATGCTGTTAGCGGACATGAAAGTAGGTCACGCTTCAAAATTTTCTTTTTGTACTTATATCTTATTGAATAATTGCTGCCATTTGTGGAAGTGCTTCATCGACAAATTCTAAAAATTACATGAAAAAATTTCTGAAGACGTATGCGATGCATCGACTTAAATAGCACAGACTTCTTGTAACAATTTAAGAAACTGACTTCGATGAAAAAATTATTTATCGTCACACGTGCGCTGAAGATAGTATAATTTCGTTTCAAAAAGTTTTTTAAGAACATAATTGACGATGATAATCTCAGGTGTTCTCATTTAATGCTAGAGTGTCGAGGGGACAAACCGACTGAACTTTCAAAAATCATTTTGATTATAATATACCTGTAAATGAATCAATGTATTGAATCAATTCTTGCAAAAATAATTCTATATCTATAATAAGTTGTTAAGTTGGAAACCACATGAATGAGATAAAATCGAAGCAATTTATTTGCGAGTATTAAAATGAAAGTTGAGAAGCTAAGACTAAATTCAGACAGCGTATTTTATGCACTTGTGATAAAAAATACAAAACAGTGAGAATGCGTAAAAAGAGTTTCAAAGCGTTTCTAATTTATTAACATGATTAAAAGCTGAAACAATGTTGTATGGAACTTCTATTTGTTGCAATTTCCAATCTACCGATGGTACTGATTTTTCAAAATAGATGACGTAGCGGTGAATTTGCAAACAATCGGAGTTTCCTCTCGCATCTCTAGTGTCAAGTGTCGCATCTCGTACGCATAGTAAGAGAAAGAGTACAAAAAGAGAGATAGACGTGACTCTATTTTGCTAGATAACGCGGCAACGTGGATTCCAGCCGCGAGATCGCTTCCGAAGGAAAATTTCGGATCGATGTTTCAATAGATTTCGTTATGGAAGATGTATCTATGTATGTATTGTAATTTACAAAAGAGAAAAGGCTGCCGGCGACACCGTGGAACGGTGTGCGCGTTACGGTGACTTCAAAGAAGATTCCACCGAGGTCGAGATATCCACTTCAATGGCGCTTTCGAGGCTTGAAGAGAGTCGCCTTTGTTGAATGTTCTTTGTTGAGAATAGTCGCGACTCACGCGACGTTATTTACATTTTTTTATTATAACGCGTGACTGGCGTCGGTAAACAATTCTTTCCGAGATGAAGACAAATGATGATGAGAGACAAGGTGTCGAGTCAAGCGACTCGCCATCGCAGAACGACAGAAATGCAACAATCTATTTTAAAAACGAGCTGATAAAAGAAAGAGGTCTTTATATTTCTACGATGCACTCGACGTGCCTTCCCGCGATGCGTATCGCGTTTTTGTTGTTTCGTTTCCGATCCTTAGTGAGTTTCTCTTCAGCGAGTAGAATTAATTGCTGTTCGACACGTGCGTGGATTTCTAACTTTGAGTAATCATGTTTTAATCAAATTATCACTTTTATCAGTAATTTTATGCAAGTCTGGAGCAGGATGAAATTGTGCAGTTAACATTATTGATTCTTATCAATTTGTACATTTTCATGCATTTTGCAGACTTGCACATGACATAAATGCAGACAAATATGTAATCTATTAACGATGTAATTGTTACGAACATCCACTAAGTTAAAAGTGCCTGAACACTGTAAGTTAAGTTTGAACTGTTTCAAAATTGTTGTTTAAGTACAACACGTCATCAAAATTGGAAACTTGCGTTCTTCTCTTAAGATGAATTTTCTTGAAGTCCGAAAATCCGAATTAAAAATTAAACAGAGTTGATTTATTTCTACAAAGATTTGCTCACAGTTGGAAATCTAAATTTGTATGGAGCCGTGTGTGATCTGTCGGGTTCGAGTCGACATAAATCGTAATCGATCCTCGATGTTCGATAAGATTTTAATTACCGGCGCCGTTTCAGACAAATCCGTGAAGTGTCCTCCACCAAATTTCTAATTAAATCCGCATCATGGTTTGGTCATTATGTAGCCGTGGACTTAGCGAGCCTCGACGGCTCTAGCGTTCTGCACTTTCTACGTATGCGGAAACGTTATTATACCTCTAGATAATAATAATTGTCACTGTGTCAGATAATATAGTGTTGATAATCATGTCATCGACATACCATTGTCCAACCAAACAAATAAATATTCTTTAGATGGGTCAGAAATTTATCATTCGGTTTCCCTTGTTCTTACTTACTATGCGAATTTATTATATGTCGCATACACAATCGGTTTTGTAATTCGATTTATAGCATGTATAATGAACATTTGTATTATGTAAGTAGAAATAATGACTTTGTACTGCTGTGGTTTCTTGTTTTAACGTAATTATGGTCACTCTTAGGAACTTTGTTGATTCTCTGGATAAAGGTTTGATACAAAATTTTCAAGGTTCACTAGAAAATCATTTATTATGCTTGCTTTTTCGATTCATAAAAGTATTCTTTATGAAAAGTGCCGATTTCTAACAGCTGTAAAGTGCTATTTTTATTAAAATTCCAAATGCCTATTTGTTGGAATTTGCAATTTTTTAAATAATACATTTAAGTTTTACGTTCTCGTTTAAAGATTTATGTGGAGCAAAAGTAATCTGATATTGTGTTACATTTTACAGTAATATTTAGCCTATTTTTCGTGATTGAAACTACTACAGATACAAAGATAGAAGCTTTCTTTGCAGCTACCTCCGAAAATCTAAAGTACGATTTTTTTCACTATTTTATAAAAGAGAAATGAGCAACAAGTCCAAGGGTCAGTAAAGCGACTAAAAGAAATCGTGCATTAAATTTTGGTGGGTCGTTGCGTAGAGAGAGTTTCACAATCATGAATTATAAACTATATTCAATCACGAGAAAAATTTTGTTGTAGTATTTTCAAGAGAAAACATATCTTCAGTGTTTCACTGTCAATATTACGCAAAAACAGGAATTTATGAACGGTGAAGGGATCGAAAGTTAATGATAGATTGCGAAAGTGAAGACAACAAGCTTCCAAATAAGCTCAAGATAAACATTTTACGATTCGTATTACAACGTTACAATCGTTTAAATATCGTCTATTCTCGAAAATCAGAAGTTCAGTCTTCAAATATTCTTTAAAGCTACTGGTACAATTTCGTGTGTCAGGATTGCACAAAAATCCACAGTTCATCACATTAACTGCCTCGCCAATTCTTTAAACATCGCATGAAACCAACTTATTTCACAATATAAAATTATAGAAGATCATGCCTTCATAGACCCCAACAAACTCTGGTTCATTCAATGGATTTGAACAATTGATTTTCGTTTATAAGTTTAAAAGTAGTCTTCATAGATGGGATTTTAGAATAAACGTAGATAAATTCATACCTCAAATAAGGTCACGTGATGCAGATGACATATCAATCTCAATATAAATATCATTCGTAAAGCATATTCCTAAATAACAGACAGCTTAAAACAATTTTAGAAGATCTTGTCGACAAAAGGCGCACATAATGCAATCTTGATAATTTAGCTAAATTTTAAATTAAGAATATGATCAGTTTTATTATTCCACTACTATCAAGATCTACTCGCTAAATAAAAATGTAGATCTCGAAGAACGACCTGAAGAAATCTCTATAAGAATTAAAATTATGATGTTTTCCGTTTGCCGAAGGCTACTGTAGGTTGAAAAAGAATTCGTTATACTTATTTAGTGACCTAGTACTTTGTCCGTTTCGCATACGAAGCGCAACGGTCAGAACACCGTTGAATAGTGGGACTTGGCTGGATGAGAAAACCGGTTACGTGTTCTTTATACGGTCTTTTTTCGGTTTATCAACGTGGACTCGACACGCAGTCTTTCATCGACTGTAGTCGCGTCAACGTCTACTGGTAGCTTAACTCCGAATTCCTCATTCTATCACGACTTTTGAAACCGGTACAGAAAAATGATTTGCACTTGCGCTTGGGTGATCGTGCTTCTCCTATTTGTGTTGTTCGATGTCAACTACTTCATTAGAATTGCGTTCACCGTCGGCACTGGCAGAATCTTCAACAAGAAGAGGAAAAGTCTCCTGGAAGTCTCAACAATTTACGGTAATTCTGATACATGCGTTATTCCTTGATTTGTTATCGGGCATCTTGAGACTTTTGATGCGATCTTGTTTGTTTGCGTTGATATCGTATCATTTTAATAGGATTTTCGTTTATAGCGACTGTGTTGTAATTGATTAGAATTTTATGGTCGCTGATATCGTGGGTATTAATATTGACCCATTCTGCCGGCTCAGCTGGAATCGCTGATAGAGATTTTGATTGAAATGCGCATGCACGAGGAGTCTGTCACGTGGTGCAACTTTGATATTTGCGTATTTTGCTATTTTTATCTTGTTCCGGTCGTCGCTTTGCGTTGTGGCATTTCATGAAAAAGAAGCAGAATTGTGCGGGATCTTATACTGTTCAATTAAGATTATCGTAATTATGATCTCTCCTGCGAAAAGTGTTTAGCAAACATTTTAGAGAGCTCAGCGTTTTATATGCATACTATAAACTTGTTTTAAATTCATGTCGCGATAAGCAAAACGAAGTGCTGCATGATTTATGATCTGATTGAATGGTTTTTACTGTTACATTTGTTCCAGGAATTTTTTATAGTTTAGATAACACACGAATTTAAATACATTTTTTACTATAAGTTATTGTAAATAAATACCTACACCTTAAGTGACACTGCTTTTTGTAATATGACCTTGTGTTTCCGATAATGGTCTAATGAAAATAACGTGTTATCGTAATTTCAAGCTGTGCAGAGTCGTCAATAATCAATTTGATTAATTGATAGCGGCAAATATTACTGCAGATATAACACTGAGGCAAATATGGTTTTAAAATGTTCCGATGCTGTATGAGAAATAAGATTCAATTCTGTTTAAAGCAAGTCCAACAATATTCTCTAAAAATACCATTAAGAAATCAACATAATTCAATTGAATGAATTTCACTTACGCACGAGTACTTTCAGGGGTCACTGCATGCATATTTTTTCAAATTAAATCGCTGAATTCATCAGTTTCTTTAGTTTTTCGATTGCTAGTTAAAAACTTGTATGCAAGCGAATACATTTGAAAGATCAAGATTCAATCTATTAAACGTGTGAATGTCGTCACAGAGTTACGATGCTTCTTAATAAATTCCTTTTCCGCTCCGCATTTCCGTAACTAAATGTCAGTTTATTTAAATCTTCATCATGATATTTAATTTCAACTCTTCAATAATCAATGAAATTGCAAATGCTTCACTCATGTGTATGTATCTTGTTACGAATAAAACAAACCACAATGAATCTTTCGTAATCATCGTGTGTGATCATTTGTGATAACACTTTTCTTCGCTGCGCTTGTCATTTATTTGTTATTCCATCTTTTGATAATTGCATAATTCTTTGCAGGAATATGCACCTTCCAGGACATCGATATAGCTCTGAAGCACATGAACAATGCTCGGTTCCTTCGAGAATTGGACTTCGCGAGGTTTTATTATTGGGACAGCACAGCATTATATGCAGGGATCTGTAAAAGAGGCGGAAATGCTGTGCAAGGTGCATCGATGACGCGGTACAGGAAGACTATCGGGATTTTTACACCGTTCAAGATCACCACGAAGGTACTGTTAGCGTCTCGAGTATGGAAATTGATCGCGAAATCGATTGATGGTACTGCTAAAATATTATCATCAAAATATTATTATAATCATTTTCCGGATTGATAACTTTGAACGAATTCTTTTAATAAATTTCCGTCCGCTGAAATTATTTTCAAGTTTTTCAAACTTATATTTTCGATTTTGAAAATGTCTTGCATTTTGTCAGTAATGGTTGTACAGTTCTAATTTACATAGTATTATTTTGTAGATTCTCTTAAATAAGATGGTGTAGCTTAATATTACAGTATGAAAAAAAATATTATATATGTATTATATATACATATATAAGTATGACAAAGTACTGTAGACAATGTGTAATGTGAGAAAGGTGTCCAAAATGTACCAATTTTTCTGGACATTTTTTTATAGCTAATTAGATTTTCCTCTTAGATGTCCTGAAAATTTGGTACAGTTTAAGCATTTTAGACTCCTTTGAGATGTCTTCGCCATTTAACCATTATGTACATATTCTTATGCTAATAATGCAATATTAATTTACACCATTTTATGTTACAGTCCACAGAATACTTTAAATTATCAAACATAAGTTGTCAAATATACAGCGTTCTTTTTTCTCAAAACTGATCGCTTTGAAAACTGCGCATGTAAGACAATTGGCTGATTCTACACACAAGAATGGAAAACAATTAACTGATTCATAAAATACAATAGCAATATTTTGTATTCACATAATAAAAGTCAATTGCAAATGCATACTCATATATCGTTACAAATTCAAAGGAGGATCAAATTATGTAATTGCACTTGACATTCAATCGCCAACATTGATTTGCTAGCGAACGAAGCACTAACGGTCGTTTGAAACTGGTTTCACTTTCACAGCTGATCTACTGGGATGACAAGAACATCTACTTGGAGCACCAGTTCATCAGCATTCCCGATGGCTTCGTCCGAGCTGTTGGCCTCAGTAAACAGACGACTTTTGGCCTGAAAGTTTCTGTCGATGAAATATTGCAGGAACTGGAACCTGGCATCGAAAAACCACAAATGACAAAAGAGTTGCAATTGTGGCTAGACACCATGGAGGAATCCTCTCAGAAACTAAAAAAGCGTAACTAAGCACCGTTTTCACCGTACAATGCTCAGAAATATTTGATTGTCAGAAAAGTAAACTTGGGAAGGTAATATTGACTGCTTGGCGATTTACTGTTTGAAATTCATCCAAATAGAAAGTGAAGTGACGTTGCGACGAACAGAAATTAGCGCGCGGATTGAACCTATCGCATACGCGTTGATTCCTATGTCCCGATAAATGTAGCCCGCCAATTTAATATTGCGCAAATGGATTCGATCGGTGGAACGGTGGTTGCGCGTACCATGATAATAAGCGTCTGTCCTCGACTGCTGAAGGCAGGTAGTCCCAAACGATAGATTGTTCTTAAACAATGTCGGGCATAAGCGTTCGCGAGACGTGTCATGTGATTCTCTACTCTGGTCGAGCATGAGACCGTCGAAGCACTTCTCTGTGATGCGAACGCGAGAAGCTTAAAAATACTTCTGTCTGTTCGTTTCGTTTTTTTTTTTTCGAGTGTCCGTATGACGACCCTATGTTTTCGTAAGGGTGGGAGAGGTAGCTGCATGTATGTGGAATTTACGAAGACCTTGACAACGTTGCGAACTTCTTCCAGGTCAACCGTAGGTAACCTCGAATGCTGGTACGATTTCGGGAGACCCTTTGGAAGTGCTTAGTTTATGACACGCCAGGGCTATCGGGAAGGATGAAACGAAAGGTTCGATATCGAATATTCGCCAAATGTGAAAATTGTCCTAATCACAAAAATAGCTCCTGGTCACGTCCATGTCGTCAAGCTTACCGGCAAAGATTTAATGAATTGTTTCTTCGCGATGGAACCGGATGCGATGGTTAATTGCACAGCGGTGGAGTTACCGTGGCCTTCGACAATGCTACGCGAATTCCTCCAAGTCGACCCTCGGTAGAATGAAAAGAAAACAATCTTAACACATTGACAGCCGGCGACCTAAGAGACATTTAAAGCCTGAGCGCCGGCAACGTATCGGCCACTTAAATCCCGATCGCCGGTCTTATTCGCTTGTTTCTGATCACTGAATATATTTTCGTAAAATAGTACATTTTATTTGCATATTCTTCATATACAAATTAATGGTAATTAAAAATTTAAACAAAATCGAAATTTTTAATTTGTGATTATAAAAAAATACAGTTTCTCATTTCATGGTGGATTATTACATATATTTATTACAGACTCAGAAATCCGCGTTTTCGCGGGGCCGGTGCTCAAGCCGGACTCAAAATCTCTAAAGTAACCACGTTCGTGCCGTAAACCTCGTCGACGAAAACCCCGCGTGTTTGTTCCTTCACGATGGAACATACTTTCCCTCCACCGTTGATCGATACGATCGATCAAGTTTCATGCAACGATCGAATATGTGTCGACTTGACGAAAGGCTTCAGGAACCGTCTTTAATTGTCATTGCACTGCTGCGAAGGTTCTGAATCGGGAAGTGGTGCCAGCCTTTTGACATTCCGTTTGTAGACACTATCTACGGTTCGGACTGAAATCGCTCTGATAATGCCGTTTGCTTTGGATGCGCTTGCTGTGGGCTCTTCCTAAGCGCCAATATAAGGGTGGCGTGAAGTCCTTCAACACGACAATGGTCCCTTCTTGGATGCGATGGGTCCCCTTTGTCCACTTGTGTTTAATATACTCCTTGCGCCATCTAGTCTAAAAGTTTTGTTTCACCTTCTGAATGTGTTGCCAGTTCGACAATCGATTGTCAGGGGTTGTTCTGAAATCAGTCTCGGTAGTGGCCGTTAAGGAGCCACCAATCAGGAAGTGGTCTGGGGTTAAGGATAAAGAATCATTGGGATCCGATGAGAGGGAAGTGAGAGAACGTGAATTCAATATGGCTTCGACTTTTATGACAAAGCTGTTGAATTGTTCATATATAAATAACTCTACGTGTAATGTTTAAATGCCTTTACAACCGTTTCCCATATACCCCCAAAATGTGCAGACAGCGCTTGCATGAAGTACCATGTGATTACCTTGGTAGTGAGGAACTTTTGTAATTTTTCGTCCTTCAACAGTGTCTTATAAGTTTTCCTTAATTTGTTGTCTGTGCCGACGAAGTTAGTCCCGTTGTCTGAATAAAGATTTTGACAGATTCCTATGCGTGCGGTGAACCGTTTCAGGGCTGCGATGAATGTCTCTGTCATTAGGTCGCTTCCTACTTCGAGATGCACAGCCTTTGTTGCGAAATAGATAAATACTGCAAACGTATATCTTTATGAGTGTTCGGTTTCGGTAACGCCGCTCTTTTATGTAAAAGGGGCCGCAATAATCGACGCCGGAGTTTTGAAACGGTCGGCTTTCGGTGACGCGTTCCGCAGATAGATTTTCCATAATATAGTCGATCGCTGGTGGATTGACTCGAAAACATCTTACGCATTGTCATATAACTTTTCTCGGCGTGTTTTTTTCCGTCAATGAGCCAATATGTTCGACGCACGTCGTACAATGTTGCGGTGATGCCGTAATGATGATTTTTCACGTGAGCCTCGCGGATAATTAGATCGGTTACGGCAGTAGAATTGGATGTTTCTGAGAAAATGGTAACGTGGAGTTTTGGTGGCGACCTCCCACGCGTAAGATTCCTTTGTCGACTGCGCTTCTTCGATAGTATCGGCACCGGTTCACAAATCGTCGACGTATAAATCTCGTTTGAGGGTGGCTGCTGCGTTTGGCGTGTCGTTTTGTACGTCGTCTGCATGTCATTAATAAGCCGTTCGACGTTTATTTTAGTCATTCTGATTCACCGGGATCTCTGTGTAGTTTGGTGTTACGTTTGACGTTGCAGACACGGCATCGTCCCGCGCGTTACATTCTTCCGACGGATGACCTGGCATCAAATAATTTTTGCATAATTTGGTTCTATGCACGATTGACACTCGCTCGGTTACGGTCATGCCTAGGAATTTCGGACATGAGAATATTGCGTGGTTTCCTGAACTCTGAGATCTGTCGTCGATTTGGTTGTGGTGAAGTCGGAAGACTTCGTCGCGGCTAATTGATCCAATGATTAATGTTTGATCTAACTATCGCTCGCGCTTCATGTTGTTTTAATTGACTCGGATGTTTTGCAACCATGTGACGCATTTCGGAGGTGCTTGAATATTTCCGTGATGTCCGGCATGCGGGTGTCAACGAAAGTGTTTTCCCACGATTTACGTGTGTCAACGTTCATTTTTGAAATTGCAATGTTCACTAGAAGATCGTTCACGATGTTTTCCCATGATCGTTCGAAGGCATCGAATGTGTGATCGCATGTGGTTTAGAAGATCTCGAATTGAGTCTGCCGAGTCATCTGGCATTAAAGGTGTGTCTATCAATAATGATGTATGCCTAAGAGCGCGAGTATTGTAATAATCTTCAACCAATTCGATCGCGGATAGAGCTTTCCCGGTTAGAGATAGTCGCAAATAACTTAGTTTCTGAACGTCTGCGAGATTTGTGTGAGTGTCAATTATATTTTTAAACGTGTCTTTGAATGTGTTCCAATTTTCGAGACGGCTTTTGAATTGTGGCAGATCGATTTTGGGCAAGTGGACTCCGGGGGAAGCTGTGGACGTGATCGGCGCGGGGGAATCGGTGGTAACTGGAGTAATCAAATGTAATTCTATATCGTAGAGTTTATCCCGAATGTCGTTAAAAACTTCAAATTGGGTTCGCATTCGTTCGACACGAATCCGGAGTTTGGCGCGTTCGACATCGGAATCGCTAAATTCGCTACATTTTGACAGGTTAAACAATTGAGCCTTGAATAGTTTAGTTTAGTGATCTATCGACTGTCGCCGTTGCTTGCCATTTTGCACAAAGTCGCGGATGAGAGTTACTAGGAGTGGGTGACAATTCTACAATGGGACCTGATTGGCAGTTCAGTAACAAGCCTACCTTGACTGGATTTTGGCTGCTGTGCGGTGTCTTAGGATCGATTGTCCTTGACCTTGACTGCAACTCGGAGTGGTTGTTCCTCGGTTGGTCTGTGCGCTGATGATGTACATTCCTTGTGAAATATTGTTTTTAAGTATGCGCACTATTTTCACTACACAGATCACTGAATCCGGCACGAAGGATCATGAATTGACATTGCGATGCACAGAAATTAGCGCGCGGGTTTATGAACTCATCCGGGATTGTAAGGCCTGGCAGATGCTTTGATTCCTGTGTCCCGAAAAATATAGCCCGCCAATTTAATATTAGGCAACTGAATTCGATCGGTGGAACGGTGGTTGCGCGTTCAATGATAATAAACGTCTGTCCTCGACTGCTGGAGGAAAGTAGTCCCAAACGATGGATTGTTCTTAAGTATGTCTGACATAAGCGTTCGCGAGACGTGTCATGTGATTCTCTATTCTAGTCGATCGCGAGATCGTCGAAGCACTTCTGTGTGATGCGAACGCTAGCAGCTTCAAAATACTTCTGTCTGTTCGTTTCGTTTTTTTTGTTGGGAGTTTGTATGATGATCCCACGTTTTCGTAAGGGTGAGAGAGGTGGCTGCATGTACGTGGAATTTTCGAAGACCTTGACAATGTTGCGAACTTCTTCCAGATCAACCGTAGGTAGCCTCGAATGCTGATACGATTTCGGGAGACCCTTCGAAAGTGCTTAGTTTATGACACGCCACGGCTATCGAAAAGGACGAAACGAAAGGTTCGACATCGAATGGTCGCCACAAATGTGAAAATTGTTCTAATCTCAAAAATCTCTTTCGCTACGGAACCGGATACGATGGTTAATTGCACAGTCGTGGAGTTATCGCGGCCTTCGACAATGCTGCGCGAATTTCTCTAATTCTATCCCGGCAGCCTTAGGAGCCGTCGCGTTTCTTTTTGAAATGCCTCTTCGGAAGTACCGAGTTTATGGCACATCATGGTTATTGAGGAAGATGGAAACGAAACTTGGACGCCAAATGATCGCTAAATGTAAGAAGATAGTCTTAATCTCAAACATAACCTTTGTTATATTATCCCACGTGTTTGTTCCTTCACGATGAAACAGAAAGAAATTTTGATTCCGCGAGAGTGAAGACAATCATACTCTGAGTTAAAAGCGTAGGTAGAGGGAAGGGAATTTAACATTGTACAGAATTCTGTTTTATTTCTATAAGATGTACATTCATAAGGCCAGTAAACTAATTCGTATATAATGGAGTAGTATCCCATTTACTTTTAGGTTGTGCGCGGATGTTATGAAATATACTTATTCTACAAACGTACAGTTGCGTGTAAAGTCTATCTTAAACGCGAGAATATCGTGACGCATATAATTAGACTGACTATTAATGTTGCTCAATGTGGATGGAACTAATTGGCAGTATAAAAAGTATACACTACAACTACGACATACTACGGTGTAATATAATTAAGGACTGAAAAGATTTGACGGGATTTCTAATTGTTAATCTTTGCTGTGAACGGCTCAATTANCGTCGAAGCACTTCTGTGTGATGCGAACGCTAGCAGCTTCAAAATACTTCTGTCTGTTCGTTTCGTTTTTTTTGTTGGGAGTTTGTATGATGATCCCACGTTTTCGTAAGGGTGAGAGAGGTGGCTGCATGTACGTGGAATTTTCGAAGACCTTGACAATGTTGCGAACTTCTTCCAGATCAACCGTAGGTAGCCTCGAATGCTGATACGATTTCGGGAGACCCTTCGAAAGTGCTTAGTTTATGACACGCCACGGCTATCGAAAAGGACGAAACGAAAGGTTCGACATCGAATGGTCGCCACAAATGTGAAAATTGTTCTAATCTCAAAAATCTCTTTCGCTACGGAACCGGATACGATGGTTAATTGCACAGTCGTGGAGTTATCGCGGCCTTCGACAATGCTGCGCGAATTTCTCTAATTCTATCCCGGCAGCCTTAGGAGCCGTCGCGTTTCTTTTTGAAATGCCTCTTCGGAAGTACCGAGTTTATGGCACATCATGGTTATTGAGGAAGATGGAAACGAAACTTGGACGCCAAATGATCGCTAAATGTAAGAAGATAGTCTTAATCTCAAACATAACCTTTGTTATATTATCCCACGTGTTTGTTCCTTCACGATGAAACAGAAAGAAATTTTGATTCCGCGAGAGTGAAGACAATCATACTCTGAGTTAAAAGCGTAGGTAGAGGGAAGGGAATTTAACATTGTACAGAATTCTGTTTTATTTCTATAAGATGTACATTCATAAGGCCAGTAAACTAATTCGTATATAATGGAGTAGTATCCCATTTACTTTTAGGTTGTGCGCGGATGTTATGAAATATACTTATTCTACAAACGTACAGTTGCGTGTAAAGTCTATCTTAAACGCGAGAATATCGTGACGCATATAATTAGACTGACTATTAATGTTGCTCAATGTGGATGGAACTAATTGGCAGTATAAAAAGTATACACTACAACTACGACATACTACGGTGTAATATAATTAAGGACTGAAAAGATTTGACGGGATTTCTAATTGTTAATCTTTGCTGTGAACGGCTCAATTAATAATTAAAACGGCTGTCACGGTTAAACTACTTACTATTTCGGCTCCAAAAAATTAGTAAATATTCTTCAGACATTCTAAAATAAAGGTGAACAGCGTTTTCCTTAAAAATATCACTGTCACGTAGTAAAATAAATTCGGAAACTGTCCGTAGCTTGTTCATTACTTCGAACGTGGCCCGAGTCCGTCGCGCCCTTCTGCCAAAGCCACGTGCAGCTCGCTGTGGCAGTTTTCGCGCTCGCCTCGCATTGGCTACTGTTTTTCGTTAATAAATCGTAAACAAAACTGCGGATTGTATTTTCGCCAAGGAAAAAGTTACTTCAAGTGACCTCATAGCCCTCTCATTCCTCGAAAATACGATAATTTTGGGACATCCTGTATACCCGGTTTTTTCGGATTCGGTTCTTAAGAATCAGTTCTATAATTTCGGTTATGCATTTCGACAGTGCACTTCGGTTATACTTCGAATTTAAGGCTAAGGAATTTTTACATAATATACAATATACATTTTATTTCTACAACCCCTAAACATTTAGACATAAGTTTTAAATTGCTTACAAATGTATGTGTATTATATGTGTAGTAACTTATAATTAGACTGCGGATTTTATGCATTTATAGGAGAAATGTATAGGTGAAACATAGAATAGTGATAAAATTGGAAGAAACTAAAAATGTGGATATGTTAATTACAACTTATTAAAATTAGTTAAGAAAGAAACAACATTGCACTTGGCTCCTACGTCTTGCAATTGGTTCTTATTTTTGAAAGAGACCAAAGGTAGATAGCTTGACACTATTTTGCTTTCGGTTAATTTACGCTAGAGTTATGGGTTCCTTATAACAATTATGAGAACATTTCGGTTCTTCATAACTATTTCAAGAACCGGAACTGATATCATAAGTATTTTCAACCCCTGAATATAATGCACCGCACTTGGCAAAATATCTTATCACACTTGAATCACACAATTCTCTCTGGTGGTATAATTAAACTGTTATATAAGGCTATCAGTTTGATATGCATACATAAGTTAATCGAATCGAGAGCGTGTATATGTCAGTCGTTCATTCATTATTCAAAAGCATTGTACCTGATTAATTGAATAACGAAAATGTGACAGGGTAATCTCATATATGTCAATTAATTCTTTCATTTCACTTGTAAAGTCACATTTTTACATAATATTTGATCACTTTGGAATAACAAGTACTACGTTAACGATCTTCTTGTACAAATCATATTCTTTTTTACAACTCTTTATCACTATAGAAAGATATGCTAATAAATCAAGTGAATCGAATCATTTGATTTCGATCTACATCCCTCTAGCAATCAAATATTATAAATCAGCTAAAAAGTAAAGACATTAGAAATTGGAGGTAACGTCTGATGTCCATCAAATATTTTTCCTCGTAATAAGAAGGTATTACGAATAATCTGTGACAGGGAAAAGTCACATAAGTATGATCCTAAAAGAAGTAAAAAAGAAGTAAGATTGAAACGTTCCTTACAAACAAAATTAAAAAGAATGCACTGGAAATTTCAAACAAACTAAACGTGATTTAAACTTAATAAATTTAATTTCTTCCGTATAAAAAATTGTTGCTAATAATTTCTCCAAAAACAGTACCAAACATTGATAACATATCGTCTCAATTTAAGAAATTGAACAAACAGTTCTTATCAACTGTGGAATCAAAACGGGAACGCTGGAAAAATCCTGAACAACGAATCCAAAATTTTTGTCTTACAAAAAACTTTTGTCCCAAAACTGGCCCAAACTTACACAAACACGACACCGGCCGGGAACCATCACTCGGCAAATTCACGCGTCCGTGACATCGGCCGGCAGCGCACTGGATCATCATCTTATGAATGATTCAATGCGCTGGCCCCCGGGGGAATCCAGGGGACGACAGGAACGATGACGGCCGGGTCATTGTGCGATGAATAAGACAGACGGTCGACAAAAATCCGGCGTTTCTCTGACGCGGGCGCGGTGCACAGAGTGACAGCAACAGTTTTCCCTGGTAATCTGTCACGAGGCGTGCCCTCGCTAGGCCTCGTTGGATTTCTGCGGACCCCGTCAGATGGCGACTTTCGTTTCGCAGAGTGTGACTGATGGAGAACGGATGTGCAATAGTTCTGCGCGTTCCTCCCGTGCAGTCGATCCGGGCGCTCGTAACCTGTCGCGAACAAGCCTTGCCGACCTTTGACACTCCACTTTCCATGAACTTTCGTGGCCCGACCAGTGTTGAAGAGCTAGCGACAGCTCCCGGCGACGACCGTCTCCTGGACCACTCACATCCCACCTGTAAGTGACAGTGTTTCGAAAACCGGCTTCCGGTTTGCGCCGCTTCCGCCGCTTTGAATTCTACGCGCACCCCACTTTCAATTTTTGGTTCTTGCGGAACTATTCCGTCACTTCTTTACATTTTGGAAAGGTAGATTTGTTGTTAATTTTGTCGTTGTTGCAAGTACATTTGTCCGGATCTCTGTCGATCTTTGGAAATTATTTTTAGCCATTTGGATGTAGCAGAAATAGGTTTGATTGCATGCATTTATGACTGAGATGAATAGAGGAAATGCAAAACTGTGATGACATGATCGTGATCGTACTAATTTCGATTTAGGAAGGACTCATTTTTGTTTTTTGCAATTGGTACATTCTTTTCTCCACTGTCTGTTTGCGATAATACCAAAAATTTTCTACAGTGTTCCGTAAGTGTTCCGTTAGACTTCATGATCCTAGTTCATGACTTTTATGCCCCATATTTACATTAATTAATGATTATTTAAAAATGTAGAAATCTGTTACAGTTTTATTGTCAGCGAGAACAGCAACATATTTTGGAGATTAATAGAAAGTG